AAAATAAGCTGGTTTGCCTATTACTAAAATTAAATTATTAGTAGTAGTATGAAAAGTAAATCACATAAAACTTTTTATCCATGTTCTTTAGGGAGAAATTAAACTTTTTTTATATAAAATTAGCAGAATACTAAAAGTTTGGAAAGGAGGTAAGGGAAACTATTGTCTCTGAAAATTTGGCATGAGAGGTAAGCGAGCAATACTATTTAAAAAAGTCCAAGTTCCTTACGTTATCTGGGAGTCCAGTTAGTACTGCAGAAAGCTGTGTTACTTGCACTCATGAAAATTAAAGCACTGGGAGACAGACACAACTAGGGGATTTAAAAACTTACTTTGCATATCCATTCTCTATTGCAAATATGATCCTCAAAACCATGGTATCTGCACAGCGAGCGATGTGATTAGGAGCAGGAAGTGATGTGCCTGATAGAAGGACAGTGGATTTGTGAGACATGATGACTTGTGTTTTTGCAGTTTTATCTCTACAATTTTATCTTTACAATTTTATCTTTTCCAGTAAGTTAAATAGCTCTGGCACATGGTCACCCATAACATCAAACTATTAGGATAGTCCCCGCGTGCTTTGTGCCCGGCTCCCACCAGCCTGCCTCCTCAGTACCCCTCAGGAGTTATTGTGTTCAGTGATCCATCTGCAACAGGCAGTCTCTGAAGGAAGCAGAGATGTGAGCAGTTCTGCGCTTTTTGGTGGTTTTAATGTCTAGGAAACGTCCCTGAGAATATTTAATTTACTAGTAGAGATACAGCTGAAGGGAGAACAGTTCCATTTCCTGAACAAGCAGGCTTTACTTTTTGTCATTATGCCTACAGAAAGGGCTATTTGAGTCCATTACTCTAGGGCTTTGGGCAACAGGTTTGCTGGAAGAGTGTGGACTGAAGTGAAAAAGTATCACAACATTCACACCACCCAGATACAGACCAAGACTTCAAACATAGTTATGGTATTCTCTAATCACCATATATCTGTTGGATGTATCCATGATAGCATACACCTAAGAATGCAGAAAGTAAAATTCTATCATTCTGTAAGGGTAAAGGAGGAAAAAAAATGCTACAGATCAAGAGATTTTCTTCTAGAGCTTCTGCAGTCTTTATCTTACAACTCCTCATCTATAACTGTTCAGCTTCATTGCATTATTGGTTTTGGGTTTTTCATTTAAAAGACTGGATTCTTCTCTTCTAACTCATTTTAGTTCTTTCCAATATTTTGACTGTTTCAATCAATTGGAACAAAAAAATAAATTCAAAATCTTTTTCTTTTCCTTGTTTTGACCTGAGATTAACTTGGATGATAAAATATAGTCAAAATATGGACACAAAATGTATTTTCCTCCATTACTTCAGAAAGAACAGTTTAGGCGGACTTTTGTCCCATCTTCTTGATTCTAATTCAAGAGAAAAGACCCCTTGAAATACAGAATTCCACACGATCTTGTATGCCCAGCAGCTATGGAAAACTGCATTTGCATTGATGTAACTCTTTGATTCACTGTGTATATGTGTACATATATTTTGTTCAGCCATGTCTAATTGTGAGTCCCTGTCAAATGGAAAGAGCAATCTCACATTGCCTTTGTGCTCAGAGAGGTGAGGCAGAGAGCAGAAGCACACCCGTGAAAGCACTGCGCTCTGGTGGAAGCTCCATACCAACGCCCTACCAGACTGCACAAAAGCACAAGGTAGTTTGGTTCCCAAGCTACACCTTAAGAGCATACCATGCTCTCACCCCTGTGTCCGGAGAAAAATGCTAATTGAGAAGGAGGTGGTGCAATCACATCCTTGTTCCCTTCCATCCCCTTCAAACAAGCTTACTCCAGTAACTTCACCATCCTCATTCTTTATCTTGATCTGTACTTGGTGCAAACCACTGGGAGGTAAAACATGTTGTAACAGCACAGAACGTAATTGCAGTACAGATATTGCTATCAAAATCCAGCCCCCACTCAGATAGAGGATCATAGCAGCCCTTTTCAAATCTTGGGGGTCCAGATTTTCACCATGATTGTTTTGTAGGTATTGGAATCTGCAAATATTTGTAAACTTTTCTGTATAGCTGCGATTTCCAAGTGCAAAACTGAATCTCAGGGAAAGACAGGAAAAGAAAATGCTTGGGTTTTTTCACTGTTATGCTTTAGAACACAGTAAGTTTTACTTTTTTTTTCCTCTCTTGCAGCCTCCTGTCCACAACTCTGAGCAGTAGCTTTTCCAGAATTCTTGCTGCAACTTATACAACAGCTCTGGAACACACCTCATAACCTGCTGTGGTAGAGCTATGAGTTCATACTATTTTATCAAAGTGGTCTCAATTGTAATAAAAACCCCTCAGTTCTAAATCTGATCTAAATCTGATAAAAGATTTTAAGTGGCAAATTAACAACAAAAGATTTTTCTGTAAAATTGCACACAACTGAAAAACTTCATCATGTTAAACAGTTGAAAGACTGTGAAGTAAACTACTTCAGAAGTTATGAAACAGCTAATTGCATCCAAATGGGGGAGAAATCCTATTAGAAAATGTATGTAGTGGCAAATATGGACTTCCCTAAATTGGGGATTCTTCCTACTGCACTTTCTGTGCTATTTTGTTGATAAGATGAACAGGTCTGTGTATGTGTTACACATTCTGTGCTCACGAGAAGCTAATTTTGCCTTACCTGAGCTGAGGCTTCAAGGGAATAGGGGTAGGAACTGGGTTTGGTGTATCCGGAGGGAATGAAACTGAAAAAGGCTAAGGAGCATTAGTGCATTCTAATGGCATTCCAGACCAGGCAAAGGTGGAAAGGATTAAATCTTCCTTCTTAATTTTTGAGTACATGCAGTGTGCTCCAACATAGCCTATCTGTCTGTCGCTGATCATTTTTACCAGATAACTCCCTAATCTGTGTATACAACTTCGGAAGAAGGCAAAGACTGATCGGGGATCAGGTACTGCTGGAGCTGCTTGTGACGGTGACAAGTTTCCTAAAAAATGCATTTCTGCAAAGTCTTGGGATTTTTGTGTTGTCAACCCCAGGTACATCAAGAGCAGGTATGTCTGCATCTTAGGCTGCTGTGTAGTTTGGAGGTACACAGTTTATATACTGGAATTAGACTAGACTTAGCAGTGCAGCACGTGACACAAGTTAATTTACTCTGTTTCTCAAAGCAACAGGTCCTACCAGAATAAATTAAACAGTACAGAGCTCCACTGCTTAAGCACCTAAACTAGCTTGGGATTTCTATGCTGTCTGCCAACCCAGCTTAGGATGCATCCAAAGCAGCTGTTCACTTCAGGTTACAGCCCTGAGCCTCCCGAATTCCCCGGGCAGGACGCAGTCCGGGGCACCACTGCACCTCAGTGTCGCTGTGACGCACACCACCCCTCCAGCAGAGCAGTATTTGATATAGCAAGGATGGCAGACGCTATTTTGGCCAGAAGCAGAAATGTGTGACTCCAAAATTAAAGGCATGAGTCTTTATAGCCTGGGACGAAGAAATCAAGCCAAAACCAGCCCGATTCTCACCTTGTGCATACCGGGACAAAAAATACCACTAAAAAATGAGATAGATATTACTCGCATGTAAAATGCCTCAACTTTTAGCTAGAAAACCCACTGCAAAGTAAATTTCACTTTCTCTGTTTAAGCCACGGCAGGGAAGCAACAGCAGGAAGCTTCGAAGGCTTTGCCATTTTTTTTTGCTGCTCCGGGCGCTCCGGGGGCTGTGTGTCGGTGTAGCTGCCAGCCCTCCTCCACACCAGGGGCTCGGTACCGGGCGAAGCGCGGGTGAAGCAGCCGGGTACCGGTGCCGCACGGCGTCCCCGGCCCGGGACAGGCCGGCAACCGCGGC